TTCTGAGACAGGGTATCCCTGTAGCCCCAACTGGCTTGGAACTTACCATGTAGACCAGGCTGGTCTTGAACTCACAGACTCACAGAGATCCACCTGCCTCTGCCTCCCAAGTGCTGGGATTAAAGGCGTGCACTACCACGCCCAGCAAAACCACATTCTTGAGATTATTAACTAATAGCATTATTTGATAAAATAATTTCTTGGAAAATTTGATGAGTCAAAGTCAATTCCTATAAAATAACAGTGAAACGTAAATCAAGTGGGCCTGGCAAGGAGGCACATACCTTTAATCCCAGCACTTGGGAGGCAGAGGAGGCAGATCTCTGTGAATTCGAGGCTAGCCTCATCTACATAGAGATTTCCAGGCCAGCTGGGTCTATAGGGAGACCCTGTCTCAAAAATACGAAAAAAAAAAAAAAAAAAAGATGAAGAGGAGGAGGAGGAGGAGGAGGAGGAGGAGGTAGAAGAAGAAACTTAAATTCAGTGGTTGGAACCTGATGATGAGAGATGATGAGCTGTTCTCTGAGAGAGGTAGATTCCTCTCTGAAGGCAGTCATTGTATAGCACTCCCATTTCTGGAGTGCCTGTATATGCCAGACATAGTGGTCAAAAACACTTTGTGGCCATTTAGTAAACTGAATCCTCACAAGCACCCTACTAGAAAGGTACTATGATTATACCCAGGTAGCAGATGCAACAGTAATAATTACAGATGAGTAACTGGATGCAGGGAAATATTGAAAAGACATTGGAAGAATCAGATCTCTTCTTTAGAAGAGAAGGGAGCTTGGTCCCCTTCAGGACTTTCCCCTGTTAAGTTTGTATGTCATTGTCCAAACTGGCATGATTGTGCACAGGGAATGGGTACTGTAAATGACCATACTGAGCTAATGGCCTATGTTAGGACAGTCTCAGATAACTCTTTCCTTGAGCAAAATCCCTATGCCCCTTCCCAGACTTATAGAACTAACTCTCCAGTGAAGGGACTTGAACCCTGCCTAGAAAAAGCATCCCAGAGGACTCCCATTGCTGCAAATGGTTCCAAGTCCTGAAGGAAGCTTATTAAAATACTGAACTGTGGGCTGGTGAGATGGCTCAGTGGGTAAGGGCATTTGCCACCAAGCCTGATGACTCAAGTTCAATTCCCAGAATCCATAAGGTGGAAGGAGAGAACTAATTTCTGCAAGTTGTCCTCTGACCAGCGTGCATGCACACGTACATTCTCTCTCTCTCTCTCTCTCTCTCTCTCTCTCTCTCTCCCTACCCCCCCCCAATAAAGAAATACATGTTAAAAGACATTAAAATACTGACTGTGGCTGCCACGACCTGTTGATTGATGTGAGGTATATTCAGGGTTAGAGTAGGCACTTGTGCAGCTTCTAGAAGTCAACTTTTTCTGGGAGGAAAGGAGACATGGGTTGAGGGGCGGGGCCTCGGAAGCCACACCCTAAAACTTGTGATACCAGGGTGTGGCAGACACTCCTGAGACAAAGGAAACAGAAAGAAATTTCTGTTCTACTTCTCTTCAGAGTCACTTTTTTTTCCCCCTAAGATGCCTTTAAACTAGATAAAATATTAATCCCATTTTATAAGTGAGGAACCCAAAGCATAGAGGAAATAACTTATCCAAGATCACAGAGGTGAGAGCCAGGAGAGAGTAAGCTCCATTCACATTCCTCAAAGAACTTCCTTGACACAGCTGAGAGAACCTCTGAGATGTTCCATTAAAGAGAATTGCCTTGTTCTTTGTCAACTTTATCTGGCCACTCTCCTTTGTGTGTGTTGGGAGGAATTTATTTTTACCAAACTCACAGAGATCTGCCTCTGCCTACTGAGTGCTACCACACCCGGCAGTTGGGAGGAGATTTTTAACTGTCCAGTTCTGTTATGCAGAGTAAGCAGTCCCTCTGGGCCTATTCAAGGCCATTTGTCTCTCTTCCTTTTTTTTCTCTGCTGTGTGAGCCTCTCTGTGGAATTAGAGGGAGGAAGCAGAGGAAACCCATCCATTGGGTTTGTTGAGGAAATGAGATACAAACCTTTTTTATTTAAATATTTTATTT